TTCTGAGGCAGCAAAATTTAGCAATCCCCCATGAAGTTGGTCCTTTCTTGAATTTAAGATTTGAACATTTTCTAAGGCCACTGACAGCCGAGCATGCAGTCCCTGTTTTCAGAGAGGTTAAAGGTTAACCTCAGCTTTACCTCTCTGCCGGGTTTACTGAGTCAAACACTGACCACCATCACTAGACTTTCAAATTTCTTCAGAAATCATTGATCGACGCAGCTGAGACCACATCCATGTTTCACACAGTCAGGGGTCAGGGGTCAGGGGTCAGGGTCGTAACCCTCTGGCTCTGGTCCTTTTTTCTCTGTTTTATTTCCAAAAATTATCTACATACACTTTTTTCTGAGTTCTCTCTCTTTCACCTCTTATCAGACTTGGGCGATCAGCAGGAGGTGAAGCATAAAACCTTAAAGTCCAGTTTTTAGCCGGAGTTGTTGTAGTTCTTGGAGTTTTCTGTCCCCGTCTCTGCCTTCTCAGTCTTCTTTGTGTTTTACTCCCTTCTCTCCTGTTATCCATTATCAAAATCAGGATGTAGGGGTCAGTGTTCAGTCCAATCCTAACCTTGGATGTGTTTTAGGATAGGGGGCCATGTGGTAGAGCAGTTAGAGTCAGTGTTGTGTCTGGATCTGTTGAAAGTGACTGTATGGGTCAATGTGTGTGTGTGTGTGTGTGTGTGTGTGTGTGTGTGTGTGTGTGTGTGTGTGTGTGTGATTTGACTCCTGTCTTTTGGTTCTGTCCAGCTAAATGTTTGATTATTGTTTATCTGAATATTTCTGATAGAAGCACCATAGTGAGATAAATTAGAGAGAAGCAGAGTGAAGATTATATTCCCTGCCGTCCTCTGTAATGTTAATCCTCTCTGATCACAGCCGTAGCCTTGTCCTGTAATTTCCCCTGTAATTTGAGCACATACTCAATACAAATGAAGATTTTAAAATGGATGGCTTTGTTGCCAGATTGAGAAACAACAACCCAGAGACGGAATCAATTGTTCTCAAGGCCTCTTTCTGTGTATTTGATATCATTGTGTCTGTTTTCCACCCCCCTTCATTTCGCTGTAATCAATTCTTAATCTCATTTCATAACCAGATGGACAGATAGAATTCTTGGCTTCGGCATTACGGGATAAACTTCTGATAACCTTCTGATTGTAAACATGCTTTGTAGAAAAAGAAAAAGACACAACAAACTTTGGGAAATGTTGAAGTCTGGAGCTTCAAACATTAAAAACTTGTAGAGTTAAATCTCTCCGGGTCACAAAAGTCAAACCAACATCAAGCTCAGTAAGTGTTTACTTTAAAAAAATGTACATTTGCTTTCACTGCTGGATTCACTCAGCTCTAGGCAAGAATGTACATATAATGATTAACTTTCGAGGATGGTTTCGTTTTGAATGGGTCCCAAGAGTCACTCATTACCACATATGAAAGAGTCCTCTGTTTCTCCAGAATTGGAAGCAGCCATTCATAAAGTGCCATCTTGAATAAGTGAATAGGAGATATCTGTCTAACGAAGAGTAACTGGACCTCCTGTTAATTGCCATGCAATGAGGCAAAGGCCTCAAATCCTGCGTTTTAATTGGGGGCATTATCAACAGTAGCAGAAGAGATTTGGGTTCAGCGATCAGGTTAATTGGATTTTAACTGAACTTGACAAGTAATTCTCCTCTGCAGTCAGAGGATGAGCGTGACACTTCGGTGATATTGGCCAAAGAATGAAGTCAAGCTCAAACGCAAAAGTGTTGAAACTTCAAATCTAGATTATTTGGTGTGATTACTCGAGAGGAAAGCAAGTGTCAAAGTGACCGGATGACTGGTTTTCTAGGTTTGTTGGTCATTTGGGGATTTGTTGCATTTTTACAGCCTTTTAAATTGATAAACGATGATTTAACAGTAAAATCTGGAATTTAAATCACACTGGTACATCAGAAACGTTCTGCTTTTATCGGGCTCTCACAGGGGTTTAAGATTTAAATTGTGTCTCTGCATTAAGACTTGTGTTGGATTCAGCAGTGTGCAGTTTTAATGCAGTTGTGTAGCTCTTTTCAGTACCATCTTTTCTCACCAGCAATCAGCAAGTAGTTTCAGGGTACAAATGAACCCTTTGCTGATACTCACGTTCTCTGCAGGTGACTTGTTGCCTTAAGTTGCACAATGTTTTAAATCACAATGGCACTTTCTAAGGTCTTTCTTACCTAATACCACCACAAAGTGGTTGTTTGCTTCATCAAGCCAACTGTGGGCAAACTACCATAAAAAACATAATTCCTCTTTCTGCCTTTTGTATACATTAAATGCTAATATATTTGTTACACTGGTATACGGGACTTTGCTCACTTTTAGAAAAAAAGGTGCTGAGGTGCAGCTTACACACCAAAGTTAAAGTTAACTGTTCGAATCACCGGGTTGGTTAAAAACTGATTCAGAGATTTCGATCAGACCGCAGCCAACAAAATGTCATGTGCAAGATTAAAAAAGATGATGTCCTGTTCTAGTTGATCCTCTCTAGAAACCCCCAAAGGATTGTTACAGCAAAGCTGGATGGGACCAAAAGGTCACTTCATCCACACCGGATAAAACCTCTAATCCATGACCTACGGTATGTTGGCCTGATTGGTTTCATGTCATACAAGAGCAGAAAGGAAACAGAGGTATTGTTTTGCCAGCAGACATAGACTTAGTTGTCCCTGAAGGACTGTAGTGGACATCTCTGTCCGCCAATACAGCGGACACTTCAACACTGAACCCTTTACATTAAAGCGTTGTACTTCAATAGATCATGGATTACTGGTTTTGAAAAACGATGAAGCGTGTGGCTTTAGCTTTTTGGCATTTGGCCATATTTTACAATTTATTATGAATGTTTTATGCAACAATTTGTTGTCATCTCAGGTTTAGAAATCGTCTCCATTAATTCAGTCTGAGAGTCCTTTTCTTTGCATCTGTGACGGTAAATGTTCAATGAGCTCTGATACAGACTCCCAAAAGTCTCATTAGGTTTAAATCTGTTCTGGTTAATCTGCAAGAGCTCATTAACGGATCACTCTCAGTCTTCTCACCCACTAGGTTTTTAAGACATGAAGGGAAATGGAAAAACAGTCACTGACTTTTCATGCAGCTGTGTGGGATTGTCAAGATACTGGGTGAGGGGGTGAGGGGGTATGTGGGAGTCAGGAGACCACAAAAGAGATAAACTCAGTCGAATTTCACATTTCTGCTCTCAGGAAGTCCAGATGGAAAAATTCCTGCACAGAAATGAGGCATACAGCCTAAACATTTTCATTTCAACAAATCGTTACAGAAGATTGAAGGGGACTAGTGTCTAAACAAACTGTCGAGAAAACTATAAACGAATGCTGTTCTAGTCCAACACAGTCAGTTCTTGCTAGTGTGAATGCTTGAAGAGCAGGATGTTCTTTGTTGAAGCTATGAGTCTCATTTTGGATTACACAATTGTTTTTTGTTAGATCTGTAACCGCCAAGGTGAAGAAACATTCATTTTGGCCGTTTATTCTTTCACAATTTCCTCTTTAAAGAATTTTTCAACATTTCTTAGATTGTGACAGCAACTGAAGCCCTCTCAGGGCGATGAGAATCTGACCATGAAACACAGCTGACAAAAGAAGTCAGTACCGACAGAAGTCTGAAACTTTGAAAGTTATATAAGTTCAGATCTAAAGGAGGTTTTGGAGGTGAAGTCTAACATTAGCTTTCGGTTTAACAGAGCTGGACCAAATTAAAACCCTGCTGCTCTTATTTAGTATAATGGAAGTCACATGAAGTTGGGCCTTTGTCCTTCAAGCTGTAGAGAAGTAGTTTCTGAATAGACTGAGGAACATACAAGCCTATTTAGTCATAAAGAGAAGCAGCTGACAAAACAGCACAGACTGTCAAACTCAGTTTCCTTTGTATTCGCTGAACTTCAGTCTTTTGATTTATGTTGACCGTTACAAAGACAACTTAGCATGTTTGGCAAACAGTACAAACATAAATCTCTGCGCTGGGCCTTGAGTCTATTCCAGCATCCGAAATACAGAAAACACTGGTGACAGATTTTCATGACAAAGTCGTAAAGATACTTCTCCGTCCCCCCAAAGGAGAAAAATAAGGGCTAAAAATTTGTTTGCCTTGGAGAACATATAGCTGATATCTCAGATCATTTGTCACTCCGGTACCTGCTCACTGCTTCTATGAATACTCAGGATTATAACGTGTTTTGACATACAAGCAAAAAAAAAAGATATATATCCTTAAAGAACCCAGAGAGATGATTCGGAAAACTGACAGATCCAACATCAAAATCCCAACCAGACAAACTTAAGAGAGATAAGTGACAGAATAAGCGCAATAAAATGAGCTAAAAATGGTTGCCATGATAAAAACAGTAGAAGAAGAGAAAAGAAGTAAAAACAGTTTAAAAAAGTAGCAAATAAGTGAAAACGACAACATGAACAGAGACCTTTACGTCCCTTAAAGGTGTTGTAGTCAGGATCTGAGTTAGTTCCAGTTTTTAGGAGAAATCTTGAATGTAAACTCTACCCCTCCAACCAGTTTTCCCCTCAGCTCCTCCTCTCCCCTCTTAAGCCCTGCCCACAAACAGGCGCTCCTGCTCGCTCGTATCGTTCCGATTAAATTCAGATATAATGCAGATAAATCCTTCAGATCATTACAAATGGGGCCCAGTCAAGGTGAAAGTCAAAAGCATTGGTGCTACTGTAGATGCCAACAGACTACCAGCAAACACAATGTTTGCAGGACTTCTACAACGAGGATAAAGTGACATAGTCCAGGACCCGAGGGAGGACAGTTTAGCGATGGCGCTACAACACGCTACAGCAGGTCCGTTTGACAAGAAACACTTCTGTTACAGACACTTGTCTTACTTTGTTAAAGCGGTTTACCTGTCCAGCAGAAAGGTTACAGGGTCACCAAGATCCCCGAGCGTCCCCCATGGTTTATGTTGACCCGGCTTTTTAGCTCTTGTCCGGTCTACCTCCGTTTTAAGCGCCCGTTATTCCTCCAGAGTCTCCGGTATTTACTTTGTTTTCTTGCTTGTGTCGGCAGTCGTGGCCAAAGGAGGATTCGGACAATTTTCCGAACTTTCTGGTTGGTTTCTACTGTCCGATATTGTAGCACGCTAACTTTGTTTGGGCTCCTGAACGACACGGGGGAGCAGCGTCTGCCTCACAACCAATCAGGTTAGAGGAGGTGGAGAACGGCTTTGTTTACAGTCAGAAAGAGCGGACCGCTCAAAAATGTTCAAATGTTGACGACACAGACAGAAGAGAACACAGAGATATCAATATATTACCAAATAATCAATAACTAATAACTATTGACTGATATTAGAAGATTTTTGTAAAAACACAAAATAAAGATGTTTCTTTAACGGAATCCTGACTACCTCACCTTTAAATGGAAATAATACACAGAAGAGATTAATGTATCAAAAAGTGCATAAATTAATGATAAAATCACAATATCTGATCAGATTCCACGATATGCTGATCGGTTTTATCCTTTTTTTCTGCCCATTATCAACAAAAGAGCATTTTAATATCATTATAACTTTTGCTTAAGTTTCTTCTGCTCATAAAAACATCGAACAATGAACAACCAAAGCTTGTCTGGTGATGAAAAAATGCCCGTGAACTCCGATGCATACAGTTCCCTGAACACATTAGCCGACAGAGACCCAAAGATTTATTCACCCAGATTTCTTCTTCTCTTTTTGAACCTTTCACATAAATCTGTAAAGCCCTCCCTGGAAAAATAACTCTTTTCCAATTGCCGAGCTTCTTTTGGTTTTCCCACTCTTTTTGTTATCTTCCAAGATAACGGGTTCTTGACTGACCCAACTCCATTTTTCATGGTTTAATCAAACTTTACTTTCATACAGAGGGGAACCTCTTTACAATAAGCCTTTTAGATTCAAGTTGGAGGAATGGGAGGCATTCCAGTTTCGGCCTCCGTAACATTAGACAGGAGAGCAATTGAAGGCATGTCTTTATATATCAGAATGTGCAAATACTGCAAAGAAATATTTAGCTTGAAAATGTTAATGTGAGTCACCATTCATGTTATATAACAAATGAGAAGGTCATACTTTTCAGAAGTACCACTGAGTGCAGTAAGAAAGCCAAAGAGAAACTGCAGCTTGTCAATTATTCCTGTCAGTAAAAGTGTTTTTATTAAAACCTCTCAGCTCATATCAGAACCTCATACTGTGTTTATATGGAACATAACTTTGATGGAATCAATTGATGCACTAATGACAGCAACATCCGGCTCCTTAAGTCCTGGACTTTCGACCAACTTGATAATATACAGTATATGTACTGCAGAAAAATACCCACTTACCTGTACAACATATGTTTAGTATATTAAGGGACCTCAGTGTGATGTGTCCCAATAAAAAACGTACAATAAAAACACTTTATTTTTTATTGAATCACAATTGTTCAAGAAATAATGTTTGACGAATATTTTTTTAATCTTCCTAAGAATATCCCTGTGCCCCTGCAGTTCTCCTATTTACCCAAAGGGGGGTGCTAACGGCCCTATTTTTTAGAGACAGAACCAAAAACACTCCCCTCCCCCAGCACTAAATCTTAATGAGCGTATTATTCAAGACTTTCCCGTTTTTAAAGGATAAAAGTCGTCGCAGCAGCTCTTTAGTCCTCAGACCAGCTCCGGTCCATTTTTCAGATCCACCAGTTTATTTCTCACAGGATGAATTTTCTTTAATCACAGTTACTAAAGAGACTTCTCGTGTTCACATACAGCATTATGGTTTTGGTGGGCGGAGCTTAACTGGGTGCATAAACAATCCTTAGCCAGCAGGTTATTTTGGGCTTGTTTTCAACAACAGTGCATGATAACACAGGTGTCTCTAAAAATATGAGGTTACATACTCATGCATACATGACTGAGAGGTTTCCTGAGTAAGTTTTCACTGACAAACAAAACTGACCTAAAATCAGTTCTTACTCAGAGGACGAGAGAGACTGCCTAATGTGAGAACGCTGCTGGACTTTACTCCTGACTTCTAAATCAAAGAGTGTGAAGTGAAGGAAAAGTGAGGCGTTAAAGTCCTCACATGCCTTTACATGTATATTTATAGCTGGTGACCTTGGCAGTCACACTGAAAAGGACAACAAAGAAGTCCCTCCCAAGCAGCGACCGAGTCTTTAGAAATGTGTTTGCTGCAGATGCTTCTGTCAGCTCATGTGCTCCAACAGTTCACGGATATTTCCTCTCCTCCTCTTGAGGCTGTTTCTGTTTAGACTGTGTCGGCTTCAGTAAGAGTTTTTTCTCAAGACATTATTCTCAACCTTTCTATTAACACAGAAATTGACTCCTTTAGGACTCCTCTGTTACCTTCGATCTCGTGGTAGCAACACTCCAGTTTTACTTTTGTTTACCTCTGCAGTGTGATGGACTCTAAAAGGATCTAAACTCGTCTCAGGTACCTGATGACAGTGATGGACTCTGTTGGATGCTGCTTCCATGTCTGCAAACTAAAAAACTCTGACAGTTTTGTTTCCCTAAATGCAACAGAGGCAGCATCAAACCAACAACCAGAACACTTGGACACAGCTCTAAATGTTAATGCTAGTCATTATGGGTAATTCCATTACTTTGAAAGGATTTAGACGCCTTCTTCCTGTTGCAGTGATGTTATTGTAGATTTGTTTGGATCTCTGTGCATTAAGTGAAAGCTCGGTTTCTGATTAGAATGTAAATCTCCAGCACTGAGTTTAATGCGAGTTTTTCCCTTCGTTGATTTGACCACGAGGACTGCTCTTAATCTCAACTCGATTCATTCGCCGCGGTCTTTAGTCTCTGTACATTTTCAGCTATTGTATTCATGGCAGTGAGGCTGCGTGATGGAGAGAATTGGAGGAGCCAAATGGAAATCTGTGCAGAAGTCAGGGTCCGGGTCTGATTCTTTCTGCCCTCATTAGCTGCTGAGGGATTAGCTCTCATGCTGGCTGCCCTCAGAGGGGTGCTGGGAGCTGGGGGGTGAAGAAGAAAAGGCGATTAGACCGTGTTCACCTCTTCCCTGTAGGAAATGATAAGAGACTATGAGATTACAAACAATGTAGAAATGTGCTAAAGAAAAACAACAACAACAGCAGACAGTGTAATAATGTCAAGCTGGTGAAAAACCATCAGCAGCTCCTAAAGGCCATGTATTCTGCATATTACATCAGGCTGAGGATCATTGTAGGTTTTATTAAAAGCTGAACTAGATTACCCGAGAGAGGAAGGTCACTGACTCCATTTTTGCTCGGAGAAGGATCTCTGCTTTGAAAAGGGAAGAATTAGCATCTTCTTGCAGCTTCACTGCTTCTTTTATACGGCAGCCCCCCCGAGCTGTCAGCCTCGCCTTTCTTTCTTAGTTTGATCCGTCTGAGGCTCTGAATCTCAGCCCCCCAATTATTCACCCATACCCACGGCGAATCACAGGGCTGAAGATCATGACTCAGATTGAAGAGACGGCCCCTGATATGGAGACAGAGATTGATTGATATAAAACATCATCTCTCAAAGTGAAACTGGTCGAATCAAAGGAGGAGGGAGTGAAAAGCATCGAGCTGTGACAGCACGCTGCTCAAAAAGGTTGAGGTGATGAGTTCGATGTCGACGGCGTCAGGACAAGCGACATTTTGATGAGACAGTCAGAACTTCTCAGGGTCAATGGAGAGCCGCAGTTTTTCACATCAGATCCAGACTCAGTTAAAGCTCAGACTCTGATCAACATCCCACAAGAAGAAAGAAAAGAACAAGAGTGTCCTTTAGTGTGGGAGCAATTTTACATTTGGGCAAAGTTAGTGAACAGATTTCACTCAGTTTGAATATTTTAGGTTAAGAAACACTAAAAGTTGTTTCTCTTCACAAGCTGCCAAAACAAAACCATCAACTAAAAGACTTCATAAAAGTTTTAGAGTTGGAGAAAGTGCAAGAATAAAAAGATAAAATCAACAGCATGTTTAAGTTTAAGTCTGAAAACTTCAGAAGTTAAGGTCAGAATTTAAGATGAAAGTCGTAGTTTTGACTGAAAGATTCAACTAAAAATACTTTGGACCTGTTTTTAATGTATTAAAAAATAACTATAACTATTATTATTATAACAATTATTTGACCTGGAGGAAACACATTATTGAAAAAATAACTAATGATTGACAGGTCAGCAAGAGATAATGGCGTTTTGAGCTAAATCTAGCAGGATAGAGAGAAAAACTCTGTCCAGTCACAGTTTGATTTTAATGACGCAGCGTCTGTGAAGCCATAAAGTTAAAGAAAATAAAACTCAAAATCTCTCAAAACAACGGCTGCAAATTCTACGTTATTGTCGGCATTTCACGATCCGAATTCAGGATGTATTTGTTCATACAGATTCCCAAAACTGTTATCCATCCATGTTCTTCAACCAACATCCAAAATTTGATCACTTCTCTTTTACAAAATGTAATCTGCAAAGTTAGACAAAAACATCAGTCCTCAGAAGTGTTCTCAAAAACTCATTTAATAAACGGATTCCTGCACTTCAGTCTGAGACCTCCACACAAAGTGAAACGTGGTTTTCTGTAGGACATCGATGTCCAGCCTGTGTTTCCACTGAGCTGGGACACTCTTATGCAGTACTACCATTTCTGACTGCTGAGCGACACTTTAAGTTTTTCCCTCAAATTACAAAGAAATGATTTAATTTAGCCTTTAAGAAGGTTTTTAATTAATGAAGCTGATATCTGGTGTGGAGCACCTGTCAGACAGTCCCCACAGTCTGATGACATTGTGTTTTTCCAACTGAAGACTCGTTATTCAAAGCAGGCGTCCAATCAGCCGACACCGACTGATAACAGTGAATATGAGTGTGAGTATGATGGGGATTTGAGCTCCGGCTCTGTCTGTAAATTGGGTGAAAACAGCTTGTACAGCTGGCTGGATCTCATCTGTGCTGTTGGTATTTTGTTCAGCAGAGTCTCTGTCAGGTTTAATCCAGGACTTTTCCACTCTGAGGCTGAATTGTTTCTCTATTCTAGGTTTTGGCAGCTGTGGCTCAGGAGAAAGAGCAACTGTCCACAGAGAAGGATGCTGAACCTCAAACTGCATTCACTACACTAAGGCTAATGATAACAGTGATCATTTATTTATTTTGATTGTGCAAAAACACAATAATAATAAGAGAACAAGACACGTTAAAAAAACACAGGTGAGATTCAGGGGAAGGAGGCATCCAAAGAAAAAGCTCTGATTCTCTGGGGTTCACGGCTCAGACCTGATTGTTGGAGAAATGAGGTTAGTAGTAGAGGACCAGATCTCAGTGACATGTAAGAAGACTAGAGAACAAACATTTCCATTTGAGCCTCATTACCATCCAGTATCAAGCCTCTGAACCCAAAGGAGTAGTTGGTACGGATCCATTATTTCCACTTATAAACCGTAGAGTCCAAATCTAGCAGGAACCAAGATGGCTCTTTTGTATTTGGCCCGGTTGGGTCCATCTGGCAGCCAGTATAATCCTGAGTGACACCTGTGTGGGTAATTGGTATGCAGCCATCGTGGACAATCCCTTATATAACCCCTTTTATTAACCCGTTAAGTAGTTCCCATGCAGTACTCTCACAGACCCTCAGGCTGGGACAGAGACGTGTTTGGGTCTTGGTTCGTATCTCTATCCATCATGTGAAAGCATGAACACTTGGGTTAGTTTTCACCCATGATGTTCTTTTTAAATGGTTTATTTCTGACTTTGGTTTTTGTCAGATTGAACAGAAACAGGATATCTGGGGAGTGAAGACTGACAGGACTGTAGCCTCATTATTTCTTTCCCAGGTTTAAATTGCTATGTCAACCAGCAGCCCGATACCCGTTTCCTGTCATAAAACTGTTTTATCATTTACAACACCCCCATGTGACAGAAATGTGGTCGTTCTAGAAAACGTCCAGATCAACTGTCCGCTGTTGAAAAACTCAACAAGCTGGTTCAGAAAGTGAACAAACAACAGCTCCAGTTGTTGAAGGAGGTTGTTATGAAAACTGAACATGAGACGAGGCTGAGGTCTGAGCTACAGCGTGTTACTGCATACTTGAGATAATTGTATGTCTGCGAGGCCATCTCAGGCGTTTCTATAGAGCTGACTAACTTTCAGCTGAGAGTAAATGAAGAGGTATTCAGTGTCTGTTGTTCGTCATAAAGCCTGACTTAACGTTGACAGATTGAACAGCAGAACTCTAAAGAAGCACAGAGCAGCATCGAGGCCTTTTTCCCCGTTTTAGATGAAAACCTCTGCAAAATAAAAAATCTACATAAAAATCTCTCTGCCAGCGAGAGAAAGTCCGAGGTTGAAAGCCAACTTGAATATTCATATCACACTATCAGATACCATCGTCGTGTTTCTGTAAATATGGAATAGAGGAGATGAAACAGGATTACAGGCTGAATTTAAGCTGCCGAGAGGAACAGAAGGAAAATCCTAATCAGCAGAGCAAGATTATTCACAGGCATGAAGTCGACTCTGATCCTGACCACGGCCTGTACTGACAGCATGAGGACTTCATTTCATGCCCCTTTAAAGCCCAGCCTCCCTTTTCATGCTTCAGCCAACAAGAGTCCTCCTCTGTTTTTTCAGCGACCACATGATGCCGAGGAATGAGCGTCCATCACATTCCACATGAGCCACAGCGGGCAGATGGAGAAGTCAAATATAAAAAAAATAAAAAGATGTTCACAGAGAGAGTTTTTTCTTTTTCTGACCTGAGGTGTGAGAATATTTCATGAGAAAATCACTGAACATGTTTGGACCAAAACTCCAGAGAGACTAACTCCCTTTAATTTGAAGATAATTTCATATTTAAGACTTCATGATCACAGAATCGAGATGTGAATCAAATGAAAATGTTAAAATATTAAATAAAACTAACACCAGATTATCAGAAAAGAAGAATGTTTCTTTTATTGTTCAGGGGATTTTTCAGCTTCTGTTGGACACACAATAGTAAATGGGTTTTTTCAGTGCTTTCACAAAGATGCACACGGTGTATGTAGTTTGTATTTTATCTTTTGTACATTCATTTGCCCGTGGTTTCGATTTATCCATCTGAGCACGCCCTTCCGAACACACCGTCCTTCTGTGATAGAATTTGAGGTAGATTCTGTGAACTAAACATTTATGATACCAAACATAATTAAACCTTTTTAATTCAGCCTTTATCTTCAAACCTAAAGGGCTTACAATTAACAAAGTGGTCTTTAAATCCTTCATTAGTTCAACTCAAAAAACTGATTCGTCCGTTTTGTGATTTCTGTCCTTGAGTAAACGAATCCTGATTCTGCTGCTTTAGATTACGACGAAGACAGCCGTCCCATGATCAAACAACGCTGGGTAAAATTTAACATTCATAAAACATCGACAGACGTGGAATTTAATATGTGTGAGTGGTTAAAATCAGGGCGACATGAGGGAATGTCAGCACAGTAGTCGGTTCACTGTGAAAAGAGCGGCGATGCTGGAGAGGACAGTGACCACGGCGGAGGTCCCGCTGTGTGAAACCGCCCCGTTGAGAGTCAAACAGTGGTCCGTGTTCTGGCCGAAACAACCTGCGTAAGCCATCACGTGGGGGATGTAGTTCTGCTCATGGACCCCGTGAAGCAGGTGAGCCAGGGGACCTTTAGCAAACACGGCCACGTCCTCTCCACCGTGAGTCTCCATGCTCAGAGGTACAGCTGCCTGCGCCTGGTAGTTGTTTTCCTCTGAAAGACGAGAAAACACAGAACAGATGAAAACGATTTTTTCAGTTCTCAGAAATTAAGCAGAAAAAACAACCAAAAGTTAAACGTCTGAACTTTAGTAACACTGTTTTTTTTTTTCCTGTCTGCATGTGGGTGACGTGATAAAAAGTCCTGCCAACGGTTTCACACGACTCCACCAATGACGTGGCAGTAATACATCAACAGATCCTGCGACGCATGAACAAAAGCAGCAAAGAGAAGACTGCTGGGAGGTAAACGTCTCTGTTAACAAAACTGAAATCCAAGATACTAAAAAAACGTCTTATTGAAGAGAAAAGTCAGAAAACATGAAACGTTAGGATGCTTTTCTTCATGGGTCACATTCTTCCTGAACTTTGACATAAAACTGACTTGATGCATGAATGTGAACGTCTGATTATTTCAGTTTAAGTCCCTGAAGGTGACTGAATTTTAGCAAACAGACTGAGTTTAGTATCACTCACTGTTTCTTAAAGAAGCTCTCTGAAGTCGAACGTTAGATTTTTTTTTGTATAAAACGTCTTAAAAGGTTGTTTTTCTTCCTGAGAGGTCTCACATTCTTTGTCTGAGACATATCTGACTTCTCTAGCAGAACTTCACTGTCCGGTTCGTGTTTTGACTTTTTTATTGTTCATGAATCTGTTCGTTCGTTCAGCAGCTCACAGATCTCACTAAATATGACCGTTTCTGCAGACTGCACCTTTAGCCCTTTCTTTTAGTCGAATCTCCCACCTCTTGGCTGTTTGTTCTGTTGCACAAACAGAAGTTTCTATTTTCCTTTGTTTGTGTGTCAAAAAGGTCCTGAAAAGATTGTTTGACTAAGGTTGGTGTGCAGTAACGCCGTGACCCCGTGACCCCGCTCTGTTTTTCTTCTCCACGTATAAAGAGATGAAACAGTCTGTGGTTTTTCTTTAATACTTGGACAATAACAATAATAACTCATGTTCACTTTACTTACGATAGTTAACAGTGGAAACATTTTCTCTCGCCCCGTTCACAAGTTTGTAACCTGGTCCGTTTCCGTATAAGATGGAGGTAAAGGGTTTCTGGTCCACATCGCTCATCATCGGAGCCAGACCTTCAGATGGAGACAAATGATTCACTTTGTTACAGCGACAGACCCGGACTGAAGGGTTAACATCTCCTACTCAAACTTCTTCTCACTCACCAAAGATGGTGTTTCCTCGGGGAGTGTAGCCTCCAAAGTTGAACACATGGGAATGATCAGCTGTTACGACAGTCAGGGTATCGTGGGTGCTGGTCATAAGACCCGCCCGGCCGATGGCTCGGTCCATCTCAACCGCTTCATGCAGCGCCTGCTTGGCTTTACCCTCGTGGTGTCCGTGATCAATACGTCCTCCTGAATTAGACAACAGAGCCGTGGTTTTGTCTCGTTTCTCGTTTCCCACGGTTTTGCTCTAATTTCTACATGGAGAGCCGGTTTTGACTTTCTCTGAGTGTTTTTCAGGTGATCAGTCACAGTTTCATGATTTTATCTTACAAAGCATCATTCTGGATCATGAGTGATCCTGCCTTTCCTGCTGAGCATGTTTGTGTTTAGTCGACACCAACGCCAGTCCTGACCAGACCTTCTGCAGCTGGAGAGAAAACAGTCAAACTCAGCTCCACAAACACGGACTGTTGCTGTGTGAAGACGGCGTTCTTAAACTCGGACCAGTTACCAAGTTTGACTGACACCGCCCACAGAAGGAGCGGGACCGTCCTTTCACAGCTGCTCAATGATCCGACAAACACTCGGTCTGAAAACATCCTGACCTTCTCTTTTCTAGCTCAAGTCTGGCTCAGCTGTCGCCCTCAGACACACAGATGTTTGTCCTCGGCATCCATGGACCGTTATCGTTCTTCTCTTTTAACAGAGCAGGCCAAGGACACGCCGTTATCAACGCCAGCCTTCCTGTTTCTGCTACATCCTGAACCGGGCCGTGATCGACCTCCTGTGGTCGGATCAGCGCTTATTCAGCTGTTGGGTGTGATCAGATCGTTTACTCGGAAAGTTTTCTTGTCAAAACTTTCGTCTTTACATTTTTTAGGTTCTTATATTTTTCCCACTTTATGGAACTGAATGTTGAATCTTTGGCGTTGAATTTTTATCAGCCGCTCCACCGTTTCTTCCTTGAAGGGATAATTATGTGAAGTTGTCAGACTTGGAAAATCGTTTCCTTTGAACTGAAAGTAAAAGTTGATGTTTTATTGAAGCTGAGAGCCTCTCTGTGAATCATAACCGTGTTTTCCTGTGGGCTTTTATTGGTGTGAAAATGGTCTGGAGCCATTTTATGACTTTGAACAGAACATACGGAGATATTTCTTTCCATCTGAACACATTTCAGCTCGGTTACAAATGAAGGAGAGAGCTCCTGCTAAAGGGAGTCCTGCTGACACAAAGACACCCCCTTCCTTTGACCCCCTTTTTCCTGAAACCGTGAATGCAGCAAACAAAACCTGACCGTAGGATTCACCGTTTCAAACATTTACATGGAAAACTGCTCGAACGTTCAGCTGATTTCTGGTAATGAGAAACTCAAATTCCACAACAGCTGAAAAACACAGAATTAATGAGTCACTTAAATTTCATGGAAAAACAACCGTGTCAAATATTCAAACAGAGAAGTTTAACTAAACAATAAAACTGATTATTTTAAACCTGAAATTAGAATCAGATTCAGAAAGTTGTAATTTATCCTGTAAACTTTCAGGATCCAAAGAAACTGTTTCTCTGCAGAGTCTCATGAATCTGAAGTTTTTCAGTGTCTGACTGACAGACAGACTCTGTGTTAATGACTCATCAGTGGACTTTTAAAACTCGAGTCATTTCCGTCTTTAACGGACTCTGAAGTCTGTGGTCGTGTTTAGATACGACCTTTAACCTGCAGAAACAAACTTCATTCACAGGAAATCGTTTTTTTTTTATGTGACTCTTTAATGTGATTTTCACTTCAGAGTTTGTCTGTTTCAAATGAACCTTAGTTAAAAGAAAACCTTTAAAAAGTTAAAAGGTTTATTCTCCTTTTTTTCTGTGTTTCGTTGAATCAGTCTCCACTTGGTATCAAACTCAGAGTGTGAGAAACACGGGAGGAGAGACGTGAATGACGGAGTTAATCATCTGTTTATAATTTCACTTTCATTGTCGACATAAAGTCGTGAAAAAAACAACCACAGCTCATTTAGTCAAAGTCAGTTTTGTCTGAGTATTTGGTAATTATGTCACCTGAGGAGCTACAGCAGGAGGACAGACCCGGTTCTGAGTCCACTGACCTGACCCGGCTTTAAAGCCCTCCAGGTTTAAGACACCGAGCGGATCACACTTGACATCACATGACCCAATAACAGTGTTTAAAGAGGAAAACTACACAGCGTGTCATTTTCTTAAATTACACACACTCACAGCAGGAGAGCTGCTGACACGTAAACACCAGAACACGACAGAAACTCACCTTCTACAAGCAGGTAAAACCCTCTGGAGTTCTTCTTCAGGATCTTGATGGCCACCTCCACCATCTCGGTCAGAGACGGATCAGTTTCAGTGTCTCTTTCCAGGTCATAAGGCAGATCGGCAGGTTCAAAGAGACCTGGGACAACACGAGACACGGTTCGAGGAGGAAAAGGATGAAACACGCCTCAAATAAGCCAGTCAGCACTTCATTTACACTTCAATGAGTTTAATAACGACACCGAGCAAAAACGTACCCAGTAAGTAATCCACGTTGTTCGGGTTCAGTGATAAGAGCTGCTTCTTGTTCCAAACATAATGGCCTTTCTGCACAGAATAAGGAGAAGAACCACAAATGTACCGCAGAGAGAAACGCTGCCTTCACTTTGAACTCCCAAATATGTAAATGTAATTGGCGAGATAAAAGCGGGAGCAGAGAAACACGTCGAGCAGAGAGGAGGGAGAATTTACTTTATTCTTCACTTTGTCTGTCCACTCCTGCACCAGGTTTCTTCCATCTTTCCGTGTGCCGCTGTGCTTTGCCACCCCGGGGTACTCCACATCCGAGGTGTTTTTGGGGAACATGTACTTCCTGCCTCCTCCCATAATCACCTGCAAAATAACAAAATGATTCTGTGAGCGACGGTCCAGAGGAGACCGAGGGTCCTGTCTTTAACCGTTTATAACCGAGCACTCGTCTGTACGATAAAAAAACTCAGACTCACATCGATGTTGGGGATGTTTTCAAAGAGCTGCCTGGCGATATCCTTACAGCCGTCCTGCAGCGCTTCAGCTGGCATTTCATTGTCGGAGTACCAGTCTCTGTCCACGCTGTGGGCGTAGGCGGCGCTGGGAGTGGCATGGTTGACACGGGTCGTCGTCACTATTCCCACTGACTTTCCTGCGGAGGTCAGACAAACACACAGATTACAGCTGTGTTGTGTTTTTGTGTTTCCCTCGGCAGTGTCGACTTTCTCGAGTCTCATGTTCACTTCTCAGGACTTCGTGTCGGTTTCCTGGGGTCCACTGTCGACTTCTCACAGTGTGAAGTTTATTTCTTAGTTTCTTTAGGAGGGTCTCATGTTCACCGTCTACCACAGGATGTTTATTTCTTGAGGTTCACCTCAGTGTCCTCTGTGGATAACCTTGGGTTAGCGGCAGAAGTCCTCACTTTGTTCCTATTGGCTCTTTACTGTCACATGTTATCTTTCAGGAGTCATGTGTTCACTTTTAAAGGACCGACACCCACTTTCAGGGTCCTTCGTCCCTTTTTATTGAGTCTTTTTTAATCCTCATGGTCACGGGTCGCCCTCTTGGGTCAATCAGGGACATCTTTGTAAGACAGTAAATGTTTTATACACTGATGGGTAGTAACGCGTTCGAAGTAACACGTTTAAGTAATCTGATTACTTTTTAAAGTAATGAGTAAAGTAAGGGATTACCAGAACTGTGGTTACTGTTACTTTCCTGCAGGCAGGCGGCGTTACGGCGTTACTAAACCGTGAATTCATTTTGTTCGACTGTCCGGAGAGTCGTGATACTAACGTTTGAGCGGAGCGACAATCGTGATGAACGACAGACACCTGTAACGATCAACAAAAGACGTCATGCAGCGTTTAACGTTGGAGAGAACCGACATCATCTCGAGTTTAAAAGATGACGTAAACATTAGCTTAACTCTCTAAACCCGAATCACCTCACTGACACGACGGCTGTGAGAACCAGGTCCAGTTCTGAGGTTCCTGTCCTGAAAAACAGGAGAGACTAAAAAACGACAAAGTGCTGCTGAACGCTGATGTTTCAGGAAGGTTCGATTAAAAAAGGAGGAAATGTGCAGAAAAAGGTTTTAAACGTTTTAAACAGCCGTCGTATGAAAAATACACAAAATAAACTGCAGGTGGGATTAATAATGAGGAAACACGTGTAAATCCTTAAATAAGAGAGAAGAGTCAAATAAACGAGTTTGTTTTTACAAACTATTTCATCGTCTGTTTGAGTCAATATTTCATAAAAAACTAAAGAGCTTCGGATTTATTCAATCTTCTAAAATATCCAACATAACATGAGTTTACACAGTAATTTTATTATCAAGTCAAGGTCCTGCAGCGTCGAGAGTCTTTCCCCGATAATCAAGAGGAAGAAAAACAAAAACAAAAACCAGCAGAGGGCGCTAAAATGATCTGTTCATGTTCGCTCTGACCGGGAGGTTAGCTCCTGCCCGCCGTGTCCCTGAGGAATGATTGAATTTCTTATTATCTGTGACCCCTGAACCCACACGTATGCACTCACACACACACACACACACACACACACACACACATGTCTCTACCCTGACCTCTCACTTATCCCCGGAGGACGAGCGTTTCTCACATCTGTCTTCTTCAGCCTGATTCATCCTTGAAGAGGAAGGAAATGAAGCCGATCTTGAGGTTTTAATCTGAACTGTTACTTCATGTTGAGCTCTGGCTCCAAGGTTACAGCGTTAAATCCACTGAATTCAAAGCTACACCCACATGAAACTTCCTCCGCTCACACGATCTCCACAAACTCCAGAGCAGACACCTGACGGGATCAAACTCCAACAGAATCCAGAGTTTCGATGGTGAAGTGGAAAAACATCCAGAAATATAAATATTTAGATCAGGTGAAAGTTGCTCTGAGGAAGTCTCTCTTTATTAAAAACATCTTTTTCACTTCAAAGTCATCGCTCTGAGCGGTCGTCTCTGCGAGGATCCGGCGTGTTCACATTAACACCGCCGCAGCGTCGCCACACTTTGGTGTTCGGACAGAAAACGCTTCAATTATGACAAACAGCTGACGGACACGGCCGGCGTTACGCCACCTTTCATTAATATCGCTCTACCTGCGTCTTTGGCCCACTTGAGGATGGAGGTGACCTCGTTGCCCTTGGTGGTGTTGCACTGGGATCGAACAGCCGCTGCGCTCACTCCCACCGTGCCCTCGTTGGCTTTGACCCCGCAGAGGTAAGCTGTGGCCGTGCCAGCGCTGTCCGCCACCTGTGCGTTGGTGTTGTACGTCTGCGGAGGAACAGAGTGTAGAATTAAAAGACGTCCTTCTGGTGACGGAGTCTTCACCCCGTTTATGAATATACAGTCATGATGGTGTCTGACCTTCGCCAGAGACACAAACGGGAACTTGTCCATCTCCAGCTGCGTCTCCTCTCCGCTCTGTCCGTTCAGCTGACCCTTCAGTATGCGAGCGGCCGTCACCGTGGGAACGCCCATCCCTGAACACCAAAATCACATCCACAGTTAAAGCTGCGTTAGTTCACCGTCAGGTTTGTTTTCTGTGATCCCTCTGCTGCGGGGCGTACAAACGTCAAAAACAACATTTATATGTTTCAAAGAGGTAATGACGGGGTAATGGGAGACAGTCGCTCATGGGGAACAGCTTTGTCCTGTTAACAAAAAGAAAAACAAATGCAGAAAATATTGTCCTGAGGTCTGAACAGTTAGAGAAAAGAAGGTGAAGAGAGGAAGTCATCGGACCGTCGCCTCTTATGAGCTGCTGTTTAAAACCTGTAAGGTGCTGCCTGTTCTCTCTGACTACACTAACACGGCTGTACACGCAGCAGTGGGCAGGAATGTCGTGTTTTGCCGATAGTCCAAACAGAGAGAGGAGGAGGAGGAGGAGGAGGAGGAGGAGTGTCGTTGTGTGACCGATGAGCGGCCCGACACAAACAGGAGCTCAGTGATCTGGTGGGAGTCAGTTTGTCGTGTTCGATCACATGTGAAAACAAAGCTGGACCACA